CCTTCCCTCCTTCACCCATTCTCTCCTTCTCCCCTTCACCCCTTCTCTCCTTCTCCCCTTCAAACATATCAAACATACACTTATACATAACAAACATACACTAACACATATCAAACATGCACTAACACATAGCAAACATACACTAACACATATCAAACATACACTAACACATATCAAACATACACTAATACATATCAAACGTACACTGCCAGCATACACTAAGACATATCAAACATACTCTAACACATATTAAACATACACTAACACATCTCAAACATACACTAAAACATATAAAACATACACTAATACATATCAAACATACACCAACACATATCAAACATATATTAATGCATATCAAACATACACTTATACATAACAAACATACACTAACACATACAACACATATCAAACATTCACTTACAAATATTAAACATACACTCTACCAACATACACTAACACATATTAAGCATACACTATCACATATCAAACATACACTAACACATATCAAACATACTCTAACGAACATCTCAAACATTCACTAACACATCTCAAACATACACTACCAACATACACTAATACATATCAAATATACACTATCACATATAAAACATACACTTTTAACACATAACAAACATACACGAACACATTATCAAACATACACGAACACATTATCAAACAAATACAAACATATATAAAATATACACTACCAACATACACTTAAACATATTAAACATACACCAACACATATCAAACATACACTAATACATATCAAACATACACTAACATATATCAAACATACACTAACACATATCAAACATAACACATATTAAACATACACTAACATAAATAAAACATACACTAACACATATCAAACATACACGAACAAATCTCAAACATACACTAACACATATCAAACATACGCTAACACATATCAAACATACACTAACACATCTCAAACATACACTAACACATATTAAACATACACTAACCCATATCAAACATACACTAGCACATATCAAACATACGCTAACACATTTCAAACATACGCTAACACAAATCAAACATACACTAACACATATCAAACATACACTTACACATATCAAACATACACTAAGACATATCAAACATACACTAAAACATCTCAAACATACACTAACACATATCAAACATACACTAACACATATAGAGCACCTGATACCACGTGAAGCTAATATCTACAGGGGTGTAAACTGTGAACTAGAAGGATTTAGACTATGGTCAGTAAAATCTACATATTCAAAGATACACATATAAGAACTTTTAAAATTAAGCTAATAATGAAAAAAACTAGGCCCCCC